ATCAAATTCAAGCTGACCCCTCCCTTACCATGCCTTAACATGATTGGTTCTCTTGGAACGATAGACCCGCGACGAAGCTTACATTACTTACTTTTACATCACTGCGATTGCTTCCAATAGTAACCAATCACAAGTAGGCTCAGTGTACCTCGGCACCCCTCCCTGGACGGCTTCCCCCTCGCAGGGTTATACTACATCTATGGCTTTACTATATCTATGTACACACAAACTTATTTTCTCCAAGATGGCGACTGCGCATGCGCACGCTACCGCTGCGCCATCTTATGGGTAGGTTATATCACTAATCTATGTTTCACTATAGCCCATTTGGAGTGTCACCCCCCTGTTGAAAACTGTCTTCACTGACGAGGTATCGGTACGGTATTCGTGGACTAGATGAAGAAAACCATCAAGATTTCGCAACACAAAATCGTCGATGGAATAATCGGTAATCGTCAACCCTACCGTCCTTCACCTCAATTGAGTGATATAAAACTAAAATTTGTCTCGTTGTCGCATGCGATCTTTCAACTAACTATTCTTTGTAATTGGGTCTTATTTTACCATAATTGCAAGTACCTGAAACAAAATAAATGCATAATTATGTATGGTATAAAAAGTTATTTATTGAATAAAAATAAGATCTGTTACTACAGTAGACTTGTAGTAACATTTACATTAAAATCATTAGCAAATGCAATAATTATACTACATGTTATATAGACTTTCAAGAAAAATGTAGTTTACACAAATGATAATTTTTATTTAAAAGCTATGAATCGATATGCCTCAGCATGGGGTTGCACATTGCTTCTATCCAGACCTTCGATAGCTTCAAGTCTTCTGGTAAGCAATGTGATCCCACTTGTAGGCACACCGATGCACAACCAGGAACAACACATCTTGAAGAGAATAAGTCTTTCTTCGAAGGAGGCATTATGAAGCTCTAGGATATGAAAGTAGAAGAAAAATAAGAGAAAATAAAGCAGAATAGACAAATAAGAATAGAAAAGTAAGAAAGTATGAAATAAGGTTAGCCTGGAAAGATGAGTTGCGTAGCCTTCGTCTCGTTGTTGTAATTCTTGTAAGTCACGCTCAAAGAGAGAACTCTGCACTATAATTGCACTGAACACACTTCAAAATTCACCAGCGTAAATTAGTAGATGCGAAGCCGTCGCCGAATCGGAAGACAGTGACGCACAGGGCCTTGTTTACACAACCATAGATATAGAAAAGACATAGATGTAGCATAAACTGATATTTTAGGCAAGGGGTGTGAGGCAAAATGAGGGTGGGGGAGTTCGCTGCATAACCAATCAAATTCAAGCTGACCCCTCCCTTACCATGCCTTAACATGATTGGTTCTCTTGGAACGATAGACCCGCGACGAAGCTTACATTACTTACTTTTACATCACTGCGATTGCTTCCAATAGTAACCAATCACAAGTAGGCTCAGTGTACCTCGGCACCCCTCCCTGGACGGCTTCCCCCTCGCAGGGTTATACTACATCTATGGCTTTACTATATCTATGTACACACAAACTTATTTTCTCCAAGATGGCGACTGCGCATGCGCACGCTACCGCTGCGCCATCTTATGGGTAGGTTATATCACTAATCTATGTTTCACTATAGCCCATTTGGAGTGTCACCCCCCTGTTGAAAACTGTCTTCACTGACGAGGTATCGGTACGGTATTCGTGGACTAGATGAAGAAAACCATCAAGATTTCGCAACACAAAATCGTCGATGGAATAATCGGTAATCGTCAACCCTACCGTCCTTCACCTCAATTGAGTGATATAAAACTAAAATTTGTCTCGTTGTCGCATGCGATCTTTCAACTAACTATTCTTTGTTCATACCATGATTTCTTTTTATTGTCATGTTCCGCTTATGTTGCTATTTTTTCAGTGAAATTCATTTTTTCAAATGAAAATGAATATTTCAATATTTTACTAAGCTTTCTTTTATACCGATACCTTGCTTATTGTTTCAGATACTATTATGAAAAATGCAAATTTCACACTCACGGAATTACAGAATGCTGCAAAGGAGTGCGATTTCGATACCAGGAAAAGAAGGAATTTAAAGCGATGGAAAAATAGTCCTCTTCATTGACTTATTTAAAACTACTCGGTATTACGTCCTCTTCACTTTATTCATTTATTTTAACTATAAATTTTTGTGTTCATACATATATTCGTTAAGAATGTCATGATTAATATCTGATTTTTGAGCTGTCTCGCGATTGGCTACAATAGCGTCACGCGATATTCTATTGACGTCATCTAACTTCTATGTTAGAATTTCTATTTTTTATTTTTCATATGATTATTTCATATAATATGCGGTCTCGTGGAACCATGATGCGGCTCGCCATTTGATATTTGTATTGGTAACATTACGATCACTGACAGCTATTTCACGGACCGTGAGCTCGCTTTCGTTAGCTTCGTTTCGTAGTTCTTAAACCGTGATGATTAATATCTGTGATTGTTAATATAAGACTTTAAATTAATTCAATATAAAATAGATTTGTATTGATGCAAATCTAGAACGATTATTAATGAAATAAGAAGTATGCATTTATTGTAACTGCATCTGTTGCAATAGATGATTAAACTGATACGTGGAAGTCCATTAGGAGAATTTATAAAATGTTCATAGAGCGCCTTTTACAAATTTTCTTAATGCTCTTCCAAGTATGAGCTTCATCATCTTTTGCAATAGATCTCAATTTCAAATTTCCCACTCTTCCTACCTTAAAAGTACGTCTTTCATGAGACTTCCTACTCTTGGTCTTGTAAGACGACTTCAAGACATGGATTTTTGGGACATAAGATGTCTTGCAGATGTCTTTACAACGTCTTTTAGTCAAATTTCAAGACATCCATAAAATTCGGAAGATGTCTTGAGGACGTCTTGCAGTCGTCTCAATGCTATATGGGTCCCTAAAGCACGGGAGTGCCGTGTCTCCAATAAGTGGTCTGTGGTTTTCAATGCACTTCGAATGGCAGTTTGGGGATTGTTGCCACCGATTCTACCAATCTTCGTCTTCTGAAAGTCAATAGGTACACTATGATAGTAGAGATAATTATAAAATAACAGCGAGCTTTAATTTAAATTGAATTTATTACTTACGTATTCTTCAACTTTTTTTTCAAAATCTTCAACAGCCTTAATCGATTGCAGCGGAAAACTTTCTAGTCGTGAGAAGTCGACCACATTAACCTTTCCTACCTTGTAATCAGAAGCATTAAGTAGTTCGATGGTTTCATTCAACTTATGAAGAATAATGCGGTTCACATTGTTGCAATGATCTGAAATCATATATTTGTATTCACTAGGCGTATCGACCATATTGAAATGTCCTAAGAATTAAGCATAGCCGCCAAAAAAAGCTTACCAGATCATACGTTTCGTCACACATTTCTACACACCCCTACATCTTTCTGACTGATCGGCTCAATTCGACGATCGTAAAATATAATCTCTTCACTAGATATTTTAATGTTATGTAAATCCAGTTAATATAGAATCTTATTATAACATTTTTAGATTTATATTCACGTGTTTTCTAACGGTTCCCGACCTTTAGTCGAATTGTTCGAATAATTGAATGTATTATTATTCTGGTCATCTATCATTTTCTTTGCTCTGTCATTCAATCCCTCGAAATCTGACGAGTAATACGTTTCTTGTTCTACTGCTTCTTCCAGCAATAAGTCGTCGTCGACTATCTCAATATTATCGTAGTCCATCTCTTCGTCTTGTGATTCTGGATTGACATCAGCATACACGAGCATCTGATTTCTACTAAATTGTTCGATGGTGACATCATCTCCTGCATTATTTAAATGCAAGTATATGGTAATATAAAAATTTAATTTCAATATATGCATTTGTAAAACACATATATATTTATTCTTAAACGATAGAATCAAGTTTCTGATGGTTGTACATTCCAGTATCGACAACATCATTCAAAGACAGATTTTTCCTGCTGGTACTGGAACGTCGATTGTTGAATCTTGAGATTTTCGAGCTTGCGGCTAAGGGCTGATTTTGTACATACTATTCAACTGTGCAATCTCACTGTAATTTTTGCCTGGAATAATATTGGAGGGTGGGTAGTTTGTTGATTTTTGTTGATTGTTTATACCTGAAATAGGTAAAACACAATTTAATATGAATTTGGTAGCCATCTGAAAGATAATGAAGAGCTAAAATACAAACCATCTTGTTCCTGGTGATCTGCAGCACGTATCTTGACTCTCGAGAGTTTCTGTGTGCTTTGTACCTTTCCACTCGACAGGTTACTATAAGATGATTTGTCCATTGTGGAACTTTGTTCTGACAAGGAAACCCCCCCAACCCGACCCCACCGATTTCAATAATTTTTTGATATGTTGTAGTACTCGACAAAATAAGAGACACGTATTTTTTTTTTGTGCTGACATCCACTATAAAGGGGTGAAAATGACCCCTGAAATTCACCCCCGAAAATCGTTTTTTTATCATATCTCGACTTCTAATTAATATTTTTTAATAAAACCAAGTGGAAAATATTTGTCATAAGAAGTCGAAGATATGAGGAGTGTTTATGACCCAAGACAAATATTTTCCACTTGGTTTTATTAAAAAATATCAATTAGAATCTGACATATGATAAAAAATAATTTTCGGGGGTAAAATTTAGGGGTGGTTTTTATCCCTTTGAAAAATCCTGAAACACCCCAACTGAAATATTTGATGGAGTTAACGGAAACGCTTTTCTTTATTTTTTTGAGCGCATACCCCGGTTTTTATGCAGAAAAAGAGCATAAAAAATATAGTTTTTTCAAAATATAAAATAAGGGTTGCAACCCCTTGGGTCATTAACAAACCTCATATCTTCGACTTCTTATGACAAATATTTTCCACTTGGTTTTATTAAAAAATATTAATTAGAAGTCGAGATATGATAAAAAAACGATTTTCGGGGGTGAATTTCAGGGGTCGTTTTCACCCCTTTAAAGTGGATGTCAGCACAAAAAAAAAATACGTGTCTCTTATTTTGTCGAGTACTACAACATATCAAAAAATTATTGAAATCAGTGGGGTCGGGTTGGAGAGATTTCCTTGTGAGTGAAACGTTTTGCATTGTGGTGGATACTGAAAAACCAAGATTTGAATTGAACATTTTATTTCATGATATTAAACTCTTGAGAATTGGATTAAAATAGAGGCATAAATCATACAGTTATAGCTATCTTACTTGAGTTTGTTGTTGTCCACAAGTCTTTCATCGGTGCTATTAGGATCCAATACATTATTCGAACCGAAAGCTCTGAGTAACTCCTGATCTGCTGCTTCCTCCGATGCAGTCACAAGATACCTTTCCTTAGCGGATGATTGTAATAAATCAACTGACTCTAAATTTCTTGAATTACGATTTTCTGTTAAATAACTCAGATCATTTTTGTTTAGACCGTTATTATGATTAATTGAGTCAGGTGTGGATTGTTTAAGCTCACCAGCATTATTTGACGCAGTACTTTCTTGGCACAATGCAGTCTTTATTTACCAGCTGCACTATACGCCGATTCTTTTGATGTTTTGATAGCGACAAAAAATTCTTTTGCCGTTTCATTTTCTTTAATTGTTTAATAAAAAAACACTTTTTGTAGCAGCATTTATGCGATTCTACACACATGAACCTTTAATAAAGCGGAGCAAGAAGATTATAAGATGGCAGCTGAGCGTGTGGTTTATTAATCGAATGGTAAAAAATGAACATATTTTGTAATCTTAAAGACGTCTTTGGTGCGACGACCTACGAAATCATCTTTAATTTAAAAAATTAATACGCAAGACTAAAAGAGACATCTTGCAGATTAATTTAGTTCTACGACGAGACGATGCAGCCCTCTGTCGTAAAAACGACATGTTCATGCGATCTCAAAAAAGACGTACTCGGGACGTCTATACCGACCTACATGGTCTATGGGTGGTTGCACGCATATGGAGAATTTTTGTCTAAGGATACTTCAGTGTGTTGTCCCGCGTCTTATAAGAAGTGTGTAGTAAGTGTGTGCTGGAAATAAAATCAATTATTCTAAAGGTAATAGATTGTGATACTTACCTTTCATTGACAATGACTCGTGGAAGGTTAAACATAGAGGAACTCCACTATCTGTACAAGGTGACACACCATACCACGCCGGAGATAACTAAAAGTCAATTATCAGTGAAAATTTAGAATACCTTCCTTTTTGGTGGTTAAAAAGGGTGGCGACATGGTATATCAAACAAAGTAAATAGTGATCAAAAGATGAATTCTTGCATATAAAATGTCTCTGAAAATTAAGAGTAGTAGTTCAATGGTGAACGATCTGGCTTCAACACAATTTATGGAAAATTTACTAAAACTTTACTAAGAATATTGTTCCAAGGTCTAGTGGATTCAGGTCTTATGAAATACAATTACAAATAGTTATACATGTGAATAAACGTTAAATAACTATATTTAGTAGTTTTTCAATGGTAGCCATTAAACAACACTTAAATATATTTAAAACATGCAAATGGGATCTGTGAGTGATGGTTACATATTAGAATAGAAAATATTGAATATTATTTTATTTATTATATTTCTATTGTCATATTACAAATTGTAATTGAAAATTTCTCAGCTGTTGGTGGATTCTAGTAACTGGAGGGTGAGTAAAAAGTTACTAATTGTTAAATGGCAAGTGATATTTATTTTAATACATTATCACGTCATGTAATAAATAGCCAAAGTAACCATTTTGTTATTGTGCTTGCGATATTAACGTATAATAATTAAATTCAATAATGATTTGGAAATAATTATTAAAATTCAATAGTTATCATGTAATACTATAGTTTAATGTAGCATTAGGAAGCGCGTATTGATAAAATTGTTAAATATGTTAAAAGGAGTCAGTCCAAGATTAACAACCTGGATGGAAAACAATAACAAAATTCAAAAACTAACTGGGAATCATTAATTTGGCAATTGGCATTTTGAAATGTTTATAATAATGAAATATAGATCAAAATAGTTTATTTGATTACATTATTTAGAATTTTCATATAATTAATGATAAAATTATTATTGTCAAGTTCTTGAGTTCTGATTGGTGGAAGGACTGGTGGTGGGGTCTGCGAATACTGCAAACTCGTTGATTGGCTGCGGCCAACGGACTTGGGAACTCTATATAAACCGAGCGTTTTCTGGCTCGAGGTTCCATTGCCATTGAGTAAGCCGAAGGCTACGCTTCGTGGTTATGCGCATATCCGGGGTTTCGTCGCAGTATACTTACGGGCTGTTCTACGCGTCTTCAAAGAAGTGTGTTGTACGAGGTGACAAACTATACCACGTAGGAAAAGTAACTGAAAGTCAATTGTCAGCGAAGACTTGGAATACCTTTCCTTTTGGTGGTCAAAAAGGGTGGCGACCGGCATCTCACAGATTGTCCTTGTTTCTTATGGTCGATCTAGGATTTCCAATTCAGTGCGAGTACGAATCAAGGACCGCCTTCTGTCGGATAACTGCACGAATCAGCTAAGAAGCCCAGGAACATCACCTGGAACAAACCTCCTAGGTAAAAGAATGGCAACCGTGACAGGACGCAAAGTTTTCTAAAAGTGATTACTGCCGCGAGAAAGAAATTAAAAAGTCGCAAAGCGGATTGTGGATGAAACCTGCTGCCGCGGAAAATAAATTAGTAAGTGTTTCGTCACGGTTGTGAAATTATTGACTTCTGCGAAAATTTAAAGTTCTCGAAATCTTTACAAAATCGAAGTAAGTCATGGTTGTGAAAGTGTTGATTTCTGCGCAAATAAAATTCTTGTCTCGACGTATTAGTTATTAAAATGCGACTGATATGCGAGGATAATATGGTAATATTGTCGATCTATCAGCGAATTCATGATGATAACTTATGTAGTAATTTAACGCGTGTCATACCAAATAGGGAATTAAATGATGAATTGAATGAATTCAAACTAAAAATGGAAAGTACTGATCAGAACTTAGTAGAATTTGAACCGAATGATATTGATATTAAATACGAAAATGTTCTATTTTGGGATTCCTTATCGGATAAGTCAAATCAATGTAATTCACCAATAAAGAAAAATGAAGAACTGTTGCTTCTGTCAGCCATTAAAAAAGAGCCTGGCGAAGTTATTGAAAATAAGAATGAGAACCTCAAGCGAAAAAGAGGATATATCGAACATGAGCACCACTGTAGCATGGTCGCAAGAGTGGGAAGAAAGGAGTGGCCTGACAAGCGGTTATGCGCAGAACGATGCGTAGTAGAGGATAGAGGCGTGCAGAGAGCAACAGGCGGTCAGCCAATCAGTAGTGAAGCAGCAAGCATGAGCGAAAGACGAGAGCCCGACAAAATGGCGGCTGAAGAAGAATTGGATCGCGCGTTAAAGGAGGCGAAGAAGGCTGAGATGAAACTGAGGAATAAATTGTTGCAAAAACAATTAGACACGAATAAGTGTTTGGAACAGTTAATTGCGGAAGTGGAAAAAACTAAGATGCTGGTCAAGACCAGACAGCGTTTACAAGCAAGGCGTAATCAAGAATACCTAAAGGACATTCAACAAGGTTACCAACTCGTTAAGAGAAAGGTACAATCGCAACAACCATTATCTGAAAAGGGTAAAATGACGACGACAACGAGGGTCAAAGGAAAGAAAGACCAAGAAAATGAAGATTCAACAGCGTCATCGGACACGGGGAACGTTCGAGATGGTGGAAGCCAAGAAGAACAACAACGAAGGGTTCAGCGGTTATGGGTTAGCCGGCAACAAGATGAGGCAATTGAGATTGAATCAGTGCAGGAGTTGGTCCAGGAAAAAGAATCTATTCCTATAGGAGACAAAGATTCTGATAGTGGAATAGTTGTTCAAGTGGTAGATAGCAGTATTGCAGAAACAACGTCACAGGAAAAAGAAAATAACCGCAATAATCCGAGATATAATCTAAGGAAGAACAGGCGTATACCAATAATTACTGATGTGGGGATTATAAAAGCAGCAGATCACGTGATAGCTCAAGAAAATAGAGTGGTGCCGCAAAAATTTAAGAATTATGGACAGCCACTATCATCGAAGAGTATGCGAAGACATCAAAGGTGGGCGAAAAGGGACCGTGAAGCAGAATACATTAAAAAGGTACATTATAAAACCCGAAAAAGGTATTCTGAAAAGGCTAAGCAGACAAGGGAAGAAAAACGAATTAAAACCCTAAAAGTACATGGATCTCCTGAACGTGACGCCATAGAACTGGGAAGTTCCAACGAGGACGAGGATGAACCAAGCATCAAGGAAGAACCTGGAACATCCAGAGAGACAATTCATGTTGTGGATAGTGAATAGCATAAGCGAAAATCTCCGGTAGAATATAGTTCGAATGAGGAAAGCAGCTTCTCCAGTGCAGAAACTCATTTACATTCACAAATCACAACAGAAATACGAAAGACATTATTGATATGATTGACTATTGATCAAGAGATGTGATTATATTTCGTGGCTCTTTCTTCGAGATTACAACGTAGTACTGCCTGCCGCCGCCGGATGTCACCACGGATTCAGAGAATAAGTCTAAAACTTTTTTCATGGTATACGACGCACTTCCTCGTACTCCATCTTCATATTGTTCTTGGTGCTCCAAAGATACAACCACGCGTTATTTGCTTTCCTGTTATATACTGCGTTTTAAGTAGTATTTCGTAGTTATTTGAAGAGGATGGACGATCCAAAGGGAGGATCATACTCGAATGATAAGGATAAAGAAAACCGAGAGAGTAACATCGAAACTATCATGAAGAAATTACGCGAAGTTCAACGCAGGTTAGATCGCGTTGTACGCAACAAAGACAAAAGAAGTCGGGAAGAGACAAATTCTTCCGACAATAGTCAAGGTAATTCCTCTTTTGTTTTTTATCTTTATATATGTCCCTAGGAGATGACTATACCTGACTTAAATTCAGAATGTCCTTCTCATGTAATTGGTAGAACTCGAAATATTACGAGGCATCCAATTCATTTACTTAGGAATTCCTTTGTTTGGAAAGTAGGTCTTTCTTCAAGCAGGAAATTTCAAGTAGTAAGAGTAGTAAGTAAATTAAGAGTAGAGAACACAGTAGTTCTCAAAGAGGGAGGTCTAAGAGACGTAGTCAGTCGTCGGATAGCAGTCAAGTTTCAGGTTAAGTGACAACAGCCTTGACAGTATCACGACAAGTGGATAATCAAGTGCGTTCAGAGTTTCAAAATACCATACAGGATGGTTTTTAATCCATTGATGAGATACCAGAGTCTCAAACTTCAGAAATGGAGATCATCAAAAATCAGGATGCAACAAACAACAATTCATCTTTGGATGAAGAGACACTGCGACTGCTCGGAGAGGACATAAATCAGGAAAGTTCTAAAGAATTTTCTGTACAGCAAGACATAGCACGAATGTAGAATATCTGGATCTCATCAGGCCTCGAAAAGGAAAAAGTCGAGGATCTATTGAAGAAATATCCTCGCTTGGGCAATTGTAACTTGGAAGCTCACAAGGTAAATCCAGAAATAAAAGCAGTGCTGTCAGAAATCACTTCCAAAAGGGATAATCACTTTGTGGATTTCTAACAGATCATGGGATCGGCTATGGTGGCGCTTGGTATCGCCCTCTCGATACTTTTGGAAGAAAAGAAAGAAGAGATTGATAAGTTTACATTAATAGAAAATCTAGGACATGTTGGGAAGCTCTTAGCCGCTGCATATTTTAAACAATGAAAAACTAGAAGAGTTTTTATATCCCCGGTAATCAGTAAACCATTGAGAGTGGTTATCGATAACTCAAAACCAGGCAGTTTCCTGTATGGTTCAGAATTACAGTCAAAAATCAAAGATGCGAAATCAATCGAAAAAATTTGCAGCGATTTAAAGATCAAGCCTCAAGAGAAACAAGTTCCGGAGAAGTACACGAAGAAGCTGGTAAACTGGAAGAGCCCGTCTGCAAATGATCGAAAAGCGACGCAGACGGGCAGCAACCAGCAAACCCTCAATATCGACCAATGTTTCCTCAGAAGAAACAGACTCAGTCACAGACGAGATACCGGGATAATCGAGAAGCTGCGGAGTGACGTCCAGCGGCGAAACGTTAGTGGTAAGGACCGTCGCGGGAAACTTGAAGCAGCATAGAGAAGAATGGGAAAAAATAACATCAGACACGTTTATTCTACAATGCGTGAACGGCTTTGAAATCCCGTTGATATAACCAGTATCACAGGGAAATTATCAATACAAGCATAAGTGGTCACTTTCGGAGAGATTAGCGCTAAGAGAAGAAATAGGAAGATTATTCAAAATTAAAGCAATCGAGCCATGCCAGGCTTCGGATGATCAGTTTCTATCGCCGTTTTTTTGACTCCAAAACCAGACGATTCAAAACGATTCGTCTTAAGTTTAAAAAGATTAAACGAGTTTATTTCCAAAGAGCATTTCAAAATGGAAGATATTCGAACAGCGACTAAATTGCTTTCCTGTAATGCCTACATGGATTCGATTAATTTGAAGGACGCCTATTTTCGCGTGTCGTTACACATAAATAGTAGATATTTAGTGCGATTTGAATTCGAAAATATGATTTATGAATTCACTTGTTTGGTTTCTGGGCTCCTTATGTCCGTGGGTTTTCACAAAGATCATGAAGCCAATTTTGAATGTTCTCCGCTTAATGCGGAGTGAAACAGATATTTCTATGTATCCGTGTGTCACACGTACGAGAGCTTGAAGCGAGGAAACTTTGCACCCAAAAATCTCTGTACAGAAAGCACTATCAATAAATTGATGACATAAACCTGAAGCCTTCGGATAAAGTAACTTTCCCTGTGGTGCCGGATTTTTGAATTATTGCTTAGGAGACATATAAAATGTAGGTAAAAATTGATACTGACAGCCTACGGACCTGTCATGACGACCCAACGATACCTTTGCCGTAACCTGTCTCACACTTATCGCACTATTGCACAGAACTACGGACGAAAATCGAAAAAAGGGCCATGCAGGGAAAGTTCTACATCTATAACCCTAACACCATTTCAATGGGAATTGTTGTGGTGTAGCCGTTTACGAGATTTTTGGGTATTAACATATTGAACTGTCAATACGCAGATTTTCCTCGCCTAAAACTATAGTCGTTTACCGCTACGAGCGCTCGTGTATCAATGACGTCAATATGCAGGGTTGCCTATTATGTGCAGTGCGCGAACGTAATAATATTTGCTTTTTCATTGTTGCGTAATACCTATTTTTTATTAAATTTCTCATTGATAAAATGCTCAATTGTTTGAATGGAATATGAGATGCGTCTATGCGTCTAAACTAATATGAAATAAATGTTATATCGAAGCTAGACTATCTTGTATAGACTATCTTGTACTCGAACCAACGACCCCGCGATCACTGGATGCGAGTTTTGTTTTTTAAGACCTTATTTTCAAATAACGTAATGTACATATACATATGGAAAAGATATATCAATATATAAACGTACTTGTGTAACAATTTACTTAAGTCTAGTCCCTGCTTAACTTAACAAGCTTAACCTAGTACTCGGATCATTTGTGTACATTCATGAGTGTTCTCTAGGTATAATGTGGTTCCACAGCATTTGTCTATTTTTTCTAATTTTAGTAAGTGTCTTATGAATAGGAAAAATTGTTAGATTAAAAAAAACCTATATTATCTTTGATTATACAAAAAGTTTAATTTTTTTATCTTCGTAGTTTTGTACATTTAGTTTAGTTTCCTGAATATTGGTAGGGCTTGATATGGTAATTTGTGTTTAAAGTCCGGCGAAATACTGTGTTGCCTTATTGCGGTAATGCCTGTAGTGAGCTCATTGTTGTTTAATTGTTCTCGATAAAATCTTTCTCCTAATTCTTTGGTATACTCAAGTGTCTTTGGTAATGCAGTCTCATCATGCATATCACTTATCCTAGCGTATCTATCTTCTGATAGTATTAATTTAAGGCACTTATTTTGAAATATTTGTAGAGGCTTAATTTATTATTTATTAGTTGGTGTTGCACTACACCATACTGGATAAGCATACATTATTATCGGTCTTACTATCATTTTGTAGTTTAACAATTTGTTTTTCTTAAACAGTGGTGAGTTTTTTTTACCATTAATGGATATAGTTTTCTATTTACCATATACGCTTTACTCAAGACTTGCTTTATGTGGTTCTTGAAAGTTAGCTTAGTGTCCAGGTGGACACCCAGGTATTTGACAGAATATGTTGACTTTATTTTGTGTCCATATACTGTGATGGGTTGCAGGATTTTTACATTTTGGTATTTTTTCGCAAATACTATGACTTCTGTTTTCGTTGTATTTAATGATATTTTCCAATTCGTGTAAAATTTTTCGAGTATGTAGATATGCGTTTAAATTTGTTTAGCTGCAACTATTGCATGAAAGGAGTGAGCATAGATGGCCGTATCATCTGCGAAAAGTGCTGTTGAAGTTTTAGGGAATCATGGTATGTAATTTAAATAGATATTGAATAATTTTGATCCTAGCACTGGCCCTTGAAAAACTCCCGCTCTGATCTTTCTTTTTGTGGGTTGGGCTTCATTAACTGCAACTGTTAGGTGTCGGCGTTTTAAGTAGTTATTTATTAATTTTATTAGCGTTGTGGGATATTTTTTCTTTAGCATTTTTCTTATCATATCATCCATACTTTATCAAAAGCTTTTTCAATGTCCAGAAGAAGCATAACCGTGGTGTTATTTTTGTTAAAATTAATACATGTGTTGTTAACTATTCTAGTTACTTGCTGGACGGTATTATGCCCCTCTCTGAACCCAAATTGATTGCCTATTATAATCTTTTTGTCTTTTTCAAATTTATTGAGTCTTTTATGTATAATTTTTTCTGTAAGTTTACCCATGGTAGGGAGTAAGCTAATGGGTCTGTAGCTGCTGGGTTCACTTTTGGTTTTTCCCGGTTTTAGTATCGGTACAATACTCCCTGTTTTCCAATGCGATGGGAAATACGAGAGTTTGAAGCATGCATTTATGATATACACTAGTTGGACAATGGCTTTACGACCCAGGTTTTTAAGTACGATGTTTTATATTTTATCAATTTTTGGGGCTTTACATGATGGTAGTTTTATAATTTCTTAGGTAATTTCCTTCGGAGAAGTAATAAAGTTAACCCATTCATTAGCTGTATTGTTATTTTGCAAAAAATTTTCTACTGTAGTAATGATTTCACTTTGGTCATTTGTGTTGTTTGTTAAATCAATGTTATGGACTCCTTCGAATTGGGATGCAAGCATGTTGGCTTTTTGTGTTGTTTGTTAAATCAATGTTATGGACTCCTTCGAATTGGGATGCAAGCATGTTGGCTTTTTCTTCGTCTGTTATTGCCTCTACGTCCTGTTTTTGAAGGGTAGAAACTGGGTGAAATTTACTCTTAACAATTTTTGTCATGCGCCATAGTGAATTGTCGTTAGGATTTAATTTTTTCAGTTTTTTAGACCAGGTACTATTTCTGAACTTTGCGATTTGTGCTCTAATTGCGTTGATACGTCGATTTACATTTACTTTAAGTTCTTTGATTCTAGTTCTTTGCCATATTTTCCGTAAACTATTTCTTGCTGTGATCATATTTAATATATATTCCGGTAATCTATCTTGAGCTTCTTGGGCAGTTATGGTGGGTATCGATTTTTCTATACAATATTGTATTTTACTAGTGAGTCTTTGTACTTCTTGATCAATACTATTGGTAGCAGTGATATTCGAGTTAATTTCGATTTTATTGTTTAATAAATTTGTGAAACTATTCCAGTCCGTTTTACAATAGTCGTACTGTAGTCTTTTATTTTGGACGTTACGCTGGGATGATATGCACATGGTAACAGGGTTGCGATCGGAGTTTAATTCTTGGAGTACTTCTATATTCGATATATTACTAATATTTTTATTTATAGTTAAGTCGATTATTATCGGCGTCATTCCATTATGAGGGAAGTGCGTTGGTTCATTAGGGAATAGCACCGTACAATTATTTAGTTGCACATAATTAACCCTCTCATGGTACACTTCATCCCAGCACCTACTAATGGTACACTAGTGCGAATTGGGATTTTGTTTTTTTGATTGCTTATTTGGAGGGGAAAAAAATGTTTAAAATATATCGACAAATATATGATTTTGGGGTCAAATTTCCCGTAGAATACGTTGCTGCTCTTTAAAATGAAAAAAAATAAGATTTAGTTATAAGAAAATTGTTATAAACGAAATACGTTTTTCAAAGTCATTTTTTGTTTTAAAATCATTATTTTATTGATTTTTATTTAAATGCTATAAAACCAATGCGATTTATTAGTTATGATGTTATTTTGTAATAAAAAAAATACTTAGTTATGATTAAGTAAAATTAAGTATTTTTCCCGTACCTCGCAATTTGGATCATTTTTGAACGGTGAATTTTTATGAAAATTTGGGTTTCACGAGTTTTGCTGTTTATTTCTATATGAAAAAAATATTTAAAACATAAGAATCTAAGGTAAAAGGTATTTAAAGAAAAGTGTACAAAATATAAATGTTTATTATTGGTCCGAAAACCTCTCGCATTCGACGCAAACAGCTGAGCGATGCTCGTCGAACATTCTTCTTAAGCAGTTCGGACATTTCATGCGTGTCCGTCCTGCTGAATCACTGTCACACAGATTACATTTTGAGCGTGTGTCTTCTTTTATAACAGATAATGTATCTGGTACAGGCTCATCAATTGACAAAAGTGTACATATTAATTTTTATATTGATGAACGTAAGGTGCGAATGTTTAGACGTCGCCGAAGATGCGGTTCTACCAATTGAAATGCTAATTGTTTAATATGATTAATTATTGTTGTAATAAGAGATATATGTACTTACTTTGTTAAAAAGGATTACCCAGCAACAAAATAATTCACTTTTATTTTTCAATTAAGCAACGATCAAGCACCCACTTCTGGTATACAGGTGCGAATGTGGTTTTTGTAAACGCCTAAATCGTGCTAATTCGGCAGCATAAGCAGAAATGACGACGCATTCAACGACAATAGAAACTAGAGGGGTCGTACATATTTGCCGTAGTGGGGATAGACCTGGTGGGAGCGAATCCGGAAATATACAGCAATTTGAAATTTTTGCTGGTGCGAATTCGCACTAGTGTACCATGAGAGGGTTAAGTAGGGCTGTACCTCTTTTATTACTTTTATTATTGTTCCAAGTGGGATGCCTCACATTTAGGTCACCAACCAACAATATCTTGTTTCCAACGCTAAGAAGATTATGAAGATAATTATTCGTAAACATTTTATTTGGGCTGCAATACGCACAAATTATATGTATATTACTTTCTAGTTTAACACAGACATTTTCTATAGGAGAGGTGTCCTTAATTTGTACTTCTTTATAGGGAATGTTATTCTTGATCAGAATGGCAACCTCCCCAGCTGCATTAGTCTTGTCTGTTCTAATAGCTTTGTACTGTTTAATTTTTAGTTTGAGCGTATTGTCGTATCTTGTTTCATTAAGTAACATGATATCTACTTTAAATCTATTTAGGAACTCAATTAATTCTCCTACTTTATTTCGGAGGCCGTCTGCATTCCAACTGCAGATTGTTATTTTGTCAGTCATCGAGATTATTACAGAATGTTAGAAATACTACGAATTTTTCGTCTTCTGATTGGCATTCTAATAATTATGCTTTTAATTTTCGAACGGCTATTGTCATTTTCATTATATTAAATATGTTATTTAAATCTTTAATTTCTTTGGTTAATTGTAATAGTTCTGAGATGTTACTCGTACTACCACCTGTATGTTCTCTCGAGGATGCACGTGTTGCGTATGTGTTTTCGTTTGGTGCTGTTGTCCCATATGCACGCGTTGCGTATGTGCTTTGAATTGGTAGTGATGTCCCATGTGATGCAGGTTTCTTGGTTGGAAGAGATGAAAATTGTTTGTTGTCATCGTTTTTAGACGACTGTTGTTGATTTCTTGATGGTGTGTGTGTTGTTGCCCAGCAAACACTGAATATAGTAGTTATATTACCTGGGTGTAACAAGTAATATAACAGTTTGTACATTACAAGAACATAACTGCTCAATGATATTTTCGCAAAGGTGGTACATAATGGGTATAACTATTATATAACATTTTGGTTATAACAACCATAATAGTTATATAATCCAATGTATAAGAAAAAACCACAAAGGATATTGCAGAATAACATTGGTATACAATATAAATCGGAAATATAATCACGTGATATGGCAAGGTTTGCTAGCATCTATGTAAATACTATTGAGTCACAGTAAAAAAAAAAATATTGAATATGTGAAAGCATATTTATGAATTCAGTGGTTTAAATATTATAAACAATTTGGAATAAATTTCAGGCTTTCAGGTAAGTCTTTAATAATTTATTATAATACACGTAACCTCATACGACCCATTAAACAAAACGCAGAGAGAAGCCACCAAAATTCGAGTTGTT